CCGGCGCCGCCACCACGAGCGGCAACAGCAGCTGCCACGGGGAGAAAATGGCGCACTTCATGGCCCGCTCGCAAGATGGCAGCACCTGCTCCGTGCACGCGGAAGTGAGCGGGCTCCGTGCGGGCGCGTTAGGCAACGCGGGGCTGCGGTCGGCATGGGAACGTGCCACCTCGCAGGCCGGCCGTGCTTAAAGTGGCGGTTGCACGGCGATGCAGGCCGAAGCAAGCACCCGCGGAGGCCGGATCGCGGGACAAAGGACCTCGCGGACTTGCGCTCCCGACGTGCTCTCCTCGCCGCACTTTTTTTGGAGTGCGAATATTTACACTTCGCCACTTCGCCAATCTGATTTGGAGAACACTTGCACGTGAATGTATGCGCTTTGGTCTATGGGTCTGGGCTTGCGTGTGCCTTGATTGACCTTCCGATCGTATTTCATTTGTTTTTTTAAATCTTTGCGTTTATTGGCGATATCCAGAAGGGGTTCACGTAATTAAACACGGGTTCCAGTTCCCGTAGAGTCAACACATCTCGAGTTTGACATTTCTTTAGCCTTTCGGAAGAAAAAAAATAATCCTCTCGCGTTTTCTTTAAGGTTATCATCATCATCCCCGTGATAAACAACATAATCCAAGCATCAAGGCATTAAATTAAAAACAAAACCCGGATAATCTCGGGAAAGGCGCCATCGATCGCCGGGCGAGCGTCTCCCGAGTTCAAAGTCTCCCAAGAAATTTAAGACATAACAGCGTTGCCATTTTCACGGGAACGAAAAAAAAATAAAAGGCAGTATCGCCAGCATCGCGCCCCGCAGATCCAGCTGTGCGAGAGTGGAGCAGCGGCCATTGCGTAGCCGCTGCAGCCACCCCTGCAGCCTCGCGCCTTCGTCGGGAGCATCTCATTGGCAAGGATAATTATGGCGGGAATCTGTCTCCGGTGCAAATTGCTGTCGCGTTGTTGTGACTAGTGTTTCCCTCCCTCACCGCGCCGGATCTCACTTTAATTATTTGCCGCGGAATGACAGGGAGGAAATGCAAGGTGGCGGAGAAATGGATAATTTACGGGATTTACAGCAATGCCCAACAACGGCAGCCCAGATTCTCTTGAAGTATTGCAACCACGACGGCGCAGAGGGGCGGCCACTAACAGCATGACGTCATGCGTGTGTTGACCAATGGCGCCGCCTCGACGGTAAACGCCCCGATTGCCCGCCTCAGAATCCGACCAATGGCTGGGGAGGCGCGGAGAAGTCACGCCCTATTTGGCGATCGACCAGTTGCAGGAGCCGCGGGTGCCACATATGACATAAGCCGTCGAATAACTCCAGCTTTTACGTAAGTGCGCGGTGCTATTTCATCCCTACATCCATCGGTCGAATCTAACGCGTAAATCCATCCTGGCAGATAAATTCTAAGCTTTGATTGTTCGATATAACGCCACGCGCTTGCGACAGGTGGAGAAGCATCGTACATCATCGCGCAACACCCTGGAATATTCCACCCGCCCTCGCTGGTGCCGACGCAGAGAACCAAATTTATTGATTCATCTTGATATTGTATTCGTGATCAAGGGTAATAAAATAAAAGATATCATTGACAAAATAAAATAAAAGAAAACAAACAAACATACTAGACCTCAATATACCTTAGATTTATTCAAGGATATGAATTTTAAACTGAAATGTAAGAAATACGTTAAACCGTTTCTGGGAAAGCAATTAAAACGATGTCGAGAATTAATTAGAATAACAATAATTGGAAACAAAATAGAAGAGAGAGAAAATTATTAACCAAATAACCAATAATCCTAAAAAATAACACCTTTTCAATTCCATACATTTGTAAAGCTATGCAACCTAGCGATCGAACAAAGGAATTCAAAATGTATTACGAGCCCAAAACGAATTTCCCCCCCCCCCCTTAAATTCCCCAAAACCTTTCGTATCTTCTCTTCCATTTTCCCTAATTCCCTATCATCATTTTTTTCCCCTTATCCACCAGTACTTTGCATTTAAATCTTTCACCCAAAATACCCCTTTAGTTTCGCTCCGAGAGAAGTCACTTCCCTTGCAACGGCACAGATCGGCCTGCAACCCGCCATTTCCTCTTCCTAAGTCAAGCAAATTGTTTTAGAAGTGTGACCCATTTTCTTAATGAGAAAGCCGAGGGGAAGGTCGATCTCCAGATGCCGTCGACCGATTCGCTTAAAGAAAAAGAAAGAAAGAAAAAAAAATCGTTTTTTTAATCGACTTTAACTTTTTTTTTCCTTTTTACCCCCCCACCCATCTCCCCCCTTTCCCCCCCATTACCCCTATCGACGCCACTCCCCCCCCCCCCCTCCCCCCTGTGAATCGACCCGATGGCCTCTGCTGACCAATCATTTTCCTCGTTCTTTGTTTCTATCCTTTCTATTATCTCTCTCTCTCTCTCTCCTCTCTTCTCTCTCCTCTCTCTCTTCTCATGTTCTGTGCCTTTCTCTGTTTCTGTCTCTTATCTCTTTCTCTCTCCTCTCTGTTCTTTGTTTTTGTGCTTTTCTCTGTTCTGTCTCTCAGCCTTTCTCTGTTCTATCTGTCTGTCTTCTGTCTGTCTGGTCTGTCTCCCTCTCCCTACCTCCCCTCTCTCTCCTCTCTCTCTCTCTTTCTTCCTCTTCCTCTCTCTCTATCCTCTCTCTCTCCCTCTCCCTCCTCGCGACTCTCTATTTTCCTTCTTCTATCCTCCCCTCTCCTTTCCTCTCTCATCCCCTCGCTTCGCTCTCTCTCTTCCTATCATCCCCCTCCTCCTTACATCTTACTTCGCTCGTTCTCTTTCTCTCTCTCTCCTCCCTCTCCTTCCTCCTCTCGTTCACTTCTCTCCCCGGAATCCGCAATGTGTGATTATGCCATAGCCCGACCAGCTTCCCTTTAAATGCCCCCACACCCCTCTCTTAATCCCCCCTCCCTCCCCCCTCGCTCCACATCCCCCCTCCTTATCCTCACAATTCCCCTTCCCCATTCCCTCCCCTCCCCCTCCCCCCTCCAGTTCCCCTCCTTATCCTCACTCATGTCCCCGTCTCCTCTTATATCCTGCCTCCCAACTCCTCCACCCCTTCCCCCTCCCCCCTCCATCTATCCTCCTCAAATCCCCCTTTCCCCTTACCTCCCCTCCACTCCCTCCCCTTCCCCCTCCCCCCCCATCATCCTCCTCCATCCCCCTCTCTCTTTATCCTCCTCCCCTCCCCCTTCCCTCCCGCCCCGTCCCCCCCCAAATCTCTCCCCCTTTATACATACCTTATATTCTCTTGTTTCTCTTACCTTGTGTGTTTTTCTTTCCCCTATTTGTTATTCCTTTTCCCTTCCTCTCTTTCCCGCGTTCCTTGCCCCCTCCCATTTTCCGCTCTCCCTTTACTCTCCCCTCCTCTCGATTATTCCGGTTAGGAATTTATTTCCACTATTTCGCTCTTATATTTCTTGTTCTTCCTTCCCTTCTCTATCCTTCTGCCCTCTCCCTCCTTTTCTCACTGTTCTTTTCTTCCTTATCTCTCGCATTTTTTACCTCTTCTTCACCCTGCCCATTATCTTCCCTCCCGATTCTTACTCATTTCCTCTTTCCTTACAAATTCCCTCTTTTTTTCCCTTTCCCTTCTCTATTCTCCTCCTACCTTCCCTCCCCACTTTCCTTATTTAACCCATTCCTTCCCCCTCCCCCCCACTCTTTCCTTACCCCCCCTCCCCCCTCCCCTCCCATACCCCCATCCCCATTAAATACTGATCCAACGGCAAAAAAGATTGGGGAAAGAGGGGGTATATGGGTAGGGAGAGATCTGAGTGGGTGGTGTGGTGCTTGTAAGAGATGGGGTGTACGCTGGTAAGGCACCACATACTCCAGGACCAAGAAGTGGGTGAGGAGGAGGGAGAGGAGGGAGGAGGGAATAGAGGCAGAGGAGGAGGAGGGGAGGAGCGACGGAGGAGGGAGGGTGAGGATGAGAGGAGACGAGGGAGGGAGGAGGGAGAGGGAGGGAGAGAGAGAGGAGACCAGGAGATGAGAGAGGGAGGGAGAGAGAGAGAGAGGAGGCGGCACGCGGTCATCAGCTGTGAAGGACACTCTCCCATGTAGCACACGTCTCACGCTCCCGGATTCGTAGTTCGCTACACCTCACCCACCTAGGACTGATAGGTCCTGTGGGACGCCGATCGATGCCACATTTTTCATACAACGTGATGAATTCAGCCCGACCCATCTATCCTGTAAGGTAGGAGATAGGCGTGTCGAGTGATGGAGGAGACCTCGAGGGAGGAGGGAGGAGGAGGACGAGGAGAAGAGGGAGACGAGAGAGACGAGAGAGATGCGAAGCTCGCGGCCAGCACGGCGTGACGAGAGAGGGTGGAGGGACAGAGAGTTATTTTTTTTTTTTTTTTTTATTTTTTTTTTGTATTTTTTTTGTTTTTTGTTTTTTTTTTTTTTTTTTTATTTTTTTTTTTTTTTTTTTTTTTGGAATAGGTATATTCTGTTTTTTTTTGTTTTTTTTTTATTTATTTTTTTTTTTTTTTTTTTTTTTCGGTATTTATGTATTGTTTTGTTATGGTGTTATGGTTAAGTTTTTGTTTTATGGGTGTGTGTATTGGTTGTGTTTGATTATTTTTTTTTTTGATATTTTAAGT